TAGCTTTCTGATATAAGGCAATTAGACAAGAATAAAGAAAACAGAAAAAAAAGAAAAAAATAAAACCTCTAAGAAATATGGAATTATGTAAAAAGATTGTCTATGCCTCATTAGATCCCTGAAAGAATTGTGGGAAATAAAAGCAACTAAGAAAACATACTCCAGAACATCATCCATGAGATTTTCCCCAATCTAGCTATAGAGGTCAACATTCAAATCCGGAAGAAGTAGACAACATTCGCAAAATATTTCACATGAAGATCATTGAAGAGACATAATCATGAGATTCTCCAAGGTTGAAATGAAAGAAAAAATGTTAAATACTGCTAAAGAAAAAGAACAGGTCACCTACAAGTAAAGCCCACCAGAATGACAGCAGGCCTCTCAGAGAAACCCTACAAGCCAGGAGAGGAATGGGACCTATATTTAACATTTTTGAAGAAAAGAAATTCTAATCAAGAATTTTAGATCTGGTCAAACTATACTTCAAGGAGAAATAAGATCTTTTCAGACAAGCAAATGCTCAGAAAATAGTTACCACCAAATCTGCCTTATAAGAGCTCTTAAGAGAACCATTAAATCTGGAAAGAAAAGACTGTTTCTAGTGGAAAAAAAAAAACAAAAACCCACACTTAAGTACACAGACCAGTGACACTACAAAGTAACTATGCAAAAAATTGGACATAACGAACACTCAACATCACGATGACAAGATCAGACCCACACATATCAATACCAACCTTGGATGTAAATGGCTAAATGCCCTGATTATAAGGCTCAGAGTGGCAAGCTAAATATAAAACTAAGACCCAATGATATGCTACCTTCAACAGACCTCTCTCATATGCAATGACACACATAAGCTCAAAATAAAAGAATGGATATAAATCTACCAAGCAAATGACAAACAGAAAAAAAAAGCAGGGTTTGCAATTTTAATTTTACACAAAATAGACTTTAACAACCATCAAAAATACAACAAAGGGTATTAAGTAACAGTAATGTGTTTAATTAAACAAGAAGACCTAACTTTCCTAAATATATATGCATCCAACACAGGAACACCCAGATTCATAAAACAAGTTCTTAGAGATCTTCACAGAGACTTAAACTGCCACATAATAATAGTGACAGAATTCAAGACTCCACTGACTGTATTAGAAAGAGCATCAAGGCAGAAAGTTAGCAAAGATATTCAAGACCTGAGCTCAACACTGGGCCAAATGGATCTAATAGACATATGAAGAACTCTTTACACGAAATCAATAGAATATACATTCTTCTCATTTGCATATGGGACACACTCTAAGATCAACCACACAATTGGACATAGAAAAACCCTCAGCAAATGTAAAAGAACTGAAATCATAATAACCACTCTCTCAGATCACAACACACACAAAAATAAAAGACTAAGAAAATTGCTCCAAATCATAAAATTGCACAAAAATTAAACAACCTGCTCCCAAATGACTTTTGAGTAAATAAAATCTAAGGCATGAATCAAGAGTTTTCTTTTAACTAAGGAAAACAAAGATACAACATACCAGTACCTCTGGGACACAGCTAAGGCAGTGTTAATGGGAAAGTTTGTAGCAGTGTAAACTCACATCAAAAAGTTGAAAAGATCTCAAATTAACAACCTAATATCATAACTAAAAGAATTAAAGAAGCAAGAGTAAGCCAATTCCAAAGGTAGCAGAAGGCAAAAATCAATTAACACCAGAGCTAAACTTAAGGAGATTAAGACATTAAAAAATTCAAAAGATCAAAGAAGTCAGCTGCTGACTTTTTGAATAAATTAATGAGATAGATCACTAGCTGGACTAATATTAAAAAAGAGAGAAGATCCAAATACAATAAAAAATGACAAGGTGGGTAATTCCAGTGACTCCACAAAATAAAAATAACCATCAGAGACCATGGTGGAAAAAAAGAATCTATTCACGTAAACTAGAAAATCTAGAAGAAATTGATAAACTCCTGAACACATACACCATCCTAACACTCTATCAGGAAGAACTTAACACCCTGAACAGATCAATAATGGCCTCTGAAATTAAATCAGTAATAAATAGCCTATGAACCAAAACAAACACAAAAGCCCAGGACCAGTTATATTCACAGCTGCATTCTACCAGGTGTACAAAGAAGAGCCGGTACCATTCCTATTGAAAATATTCTTAAAATATTGAGGAGCAGGGACTTCTTCTCAACTCAGTCTATGAGGCCAGTATTATCCTGATACCAAAACCTGGCAGAGACATAACAGCAAGAAAAGTTCAGGCCAATATCTTTGATGAACATAGATGCAAAAATCCTCAATAAACTACTGGAAAACTGAATCCCACAGCACAACAAAAAGCTTATCCACCACAATAAACTAGGCTTTATCCCTGGGATGTAAAGTTGGTTAAACATACACAAATAAATAATCAAGATTCATCACACAAACAGAACTAAAGACAAAAACCGCATGATCATCTCAACAGAAGCAGCAATGTCTTTTGATGAAATTCAACATCTTTTTATGTTAAAATCTCTCAACAAACTAGTTGTTAAAGGAACATCTATAAAAACAATAAGAACCATCTATGACAGACCCACAGCCAACATCATGCTGAATGGGCAAAAGCTGGAAGTATTTCCCTTGATAACCAGCACAAGAGAAGGATGCCCTCTTTCAATTCTCCTATTCAACATAGTATTGGATTTTCTGGCCAGAGCAATCAGAAAAAAGAAAGAAATAAAAGGCATCCAGATAGAAAGAGAGGAAGTCAAACTATCCCTGTTTGCAGATGACAAGGTTCTGTATCTAGAAAGCCCCATAGTGTTGGTGCAAAAGTTCCTTAAGCTGGTAAACCACTTCAGCAAAGTTTCAGGATACAAGATCAACACACAAAAATTACTAGAATTCCTATACACCAACCACAGGCAAGCTGAGAGCTAAATTGGGAATACAATACCATTTACAGTTGATATGAAAATAATAAAATATCTAGCAATAGAGTTAATTGAGGAGTTGGAAGATCTCCACAATGATAATTTTAAAACATTGCTAGAAAATCAGAGATAATACAAATGGAAAACATTCCATGCTTATGAATGGGAACACTCAATAGAGAACTTTCACTTCATCAGTTAAATATATTCCTAGGTATTTAAATTTTTTGGAGCTAATGCAAATGGATTGTCTTTTATATTTTTAAATTTTGGTATTTTATGGTTGGTTTTTAGGAACCCTACTAATTTTTGTATGTTAATTTTATATCCTACAACTTTGCTTAATTTGCCTACCTACTCTGAGAGTTCTTTGGTGAAGGCTTTAGGTTTTTCTAAATTAAGATTATTTTGTTTGAAAAGAGGGGCAACTTAACTTCCTCTTTGCCAATTTAGATACCTTTTAGTTTGTTCTCTTGCCTGATTTTTCTGGTTAGAACTGCCAATACTATGTTAAATATGAGTGGTGAAAGTAAAAATCCTTGTATTTTTACAGATTTTTTTTCCATCAAATATGACAGTAGCTGTGAGTTTGTTACGTATGGTTGTTACTATTTGAGGTATGTTTCTTTCATGCCTCATTTGTTGAGGATTTCTATTATGAAGAGATGTAAAATTTTATCAAATGCTTTATTTCAGTCTATTGAAATGATTATATAGTTTTAGTCCTTCATTCTGTTAATGTAATATATCACATTTATCAATTTGTGCATGTTAAATCATCCTTGCATCACTAGTATAAATCCCACCTGATTATGGTGAATTATATTTTTGATGCACCATTGGATTTGGTTTGCTAGAATTTTGTAGAGGATTCTTGCATCTATTTTCCACAGGGATGTTGGCCTATGATTTTTTTTGTTGTTGTTTCTTTGTCTTATTGCATATCAAATTAACGTTAGCCTTGCAGAATGTCTTGAGGAATATTCTCTACTCTTAATTTTTAGAATACTTTGATGAGGATTGGTATTAGTACTTATCTATGTAAATAATAAAATTTGCCAGTGAGTTTATCTGGTCCTGGCCTTTTATTAAGTGGCCAGGCAAACACTATGGGAGGCCGAGGAGGGCATATCACCTGAGGTCAGGAGTTCGAGACCAGCCTGGCCAACATAGTGAAACCCTGACTCTACTAAAAATACAGAAATTAGCTGGTAGTGGTAGTGGATGCCTGTAATCCCAGCTACTCAGGAAGCTGAGGCCAGAGAATCACTTGAACTCAGGAGGTGGAGCTTGCAGTGGGCAGAGATGGTGTCACTGCACTCCAGCTTGGGCAACAGAGCAAAACTCCATCACACACGAAAGAAAGGAAAGAAAGAAAGGAAAGAAAGAAAGAAAGAAAGAAAAAAAGAAAGAAAGAAAGAAAGAAAGAAAGAAAGAAAGAAAGAAAGAAAGAAAGAAGGAAGGAAGGAAAGAAAGAAAGAAAGGAGGGAGGGAGGGAGGGAGGGAGGGAAGGAAGGAAGGAAGGAAGGAAGGAAGGAAGGAAGGAAAGAAAGAAAGAAAACAAAAGTTGGTCGGAGACTTTTTATTACTGATTCAATATCACTGCTCATTATTAGTCTTATTGGGCTTTCTATTTATTTCTGACTCAATCTTGGTAGGTTGCATGTTTCTAGCAATTTACAATTTGTTCTTCCTAGCTACTTTAAAATATACACTATAGTATTGCTGACTATAGTCACCCTAGTCTGCTATCCAGCATTATACTTTATTTCTTCTATCTAACAATAAATTTTTACCCATTCGCCAACTTCCTTTCATTTCCTGCTCTCATCCTCACACCCTTCTCAGCCTCTGGTATCTATCATTCTACTCTCTACCTCTATGTGAGCAAGTTTCTTTCAGCTTCCACATATGAGTGAGAACATGCAGTTCTCATCTTTCTGTGCCTGAATTATTTCACTTAACATAATGACATCCAGTCTCATTCATAATGTTGAAAATGAGATGATTTTATTTTTTTATGGTTGAATAGTATTCTCCTTTCTGTATATACCACATTTTTTTTTTTTTTGAGAAGGTCAGCTGACTATTGCTTTGGGAGCCGGGGGCTCAGGAGCTCTTGGTGGGGCAGGTGCGCTTCCTCTTCACCATCACAGGCTTCTGGCTGCGCAGGATGGCGCTAGCCCTGCGGATAGCTGCCATGCGTAGGTCGGGCTGGTACTTGTTCTTGCATATCATGTGTCTGATGCTGCTAAGCGTGGGGCGATCACTCTTGTTGATGGTAGTCCGCACGTAGGAGGCTTCCGCTGGCCGGATCTCCATTTCATGACCACCACTACACCCTTGCCATCAGCTGCCAGCTCCAAGCCCACAGTCTTGCGGTGAATCAGCCCGTTGTAGCGGAAGGAGTTGTGGGCCTTCAAGTTATTGGGCTCGGTGCTATAGATCTGCTTGTTCTTCTTGATCAGGAAACTGGAGCAGTTCCGCACGACCATCCATTGCAGATGCGCAGACATGGCGGAGGCTCCTCTCGGGCGGCGACCTGAGGCGGAAAGACTATACCACATTTTTTAACCTGTTCATCTGCTAATGAAAATTGAGGTTGATTCAAATTCTTTGTGGAGTGTGAATAAACATGTGAGTGCAGGTATTCTTGTGATATGCTGATTCATTTTACTTTGGATAAATACCAAGTAGTACGATTTCTGGATCGTATGATAGTCCTACTTTTTGTTTGTTGAGAAATTTCCATAGTGCTTTCCATAGTGACCCTACTAATTTACATTCCCATCCATGGTGTATAACAGTTGTTTTTTTCTGTACATCTTTACCAGCACCTGCAAATTTATTCATCATTTTCTCTAGGTTTTCCAGTATATTAGCATATACTTGCTAATAAGTTTTAATGATCTTTTGTATTTCTGTGGTAATATTTGTAATGTCTCCTTTTCCACTTCTGATTTTTTGGGAGGATTTCCACTCATATTTTCTTTGTTACTCTAGCTAGCAGTTTATTCATTTCATTCATCTTTTTGAAAAACAAAATTTTTATTTTATTGATTCTTTGTAATCTCTTAGGTCCCTATTTCATTAAGATCTGCTCTGATTTGTGTTATTTATCTTCTTATACTTTTGTGTTTTGCTTGCTGTGACCAAAGTTTCCTGGAACTGACAAGCAACTTCGGTAAACTCACAGGATAACAAATTAATGGATAAAAATTAGTAGCATTTCCATACACTACTGAAACACAAGCTGAGTGCCAAATAAAAAAGGCAATCTCATTCACAATAGTATTCAAACTATACTACAGGCTACAGTTACCAAACCAGCATGGTACTGATACAAAAACAGACACATAGACCATTGGAATGAAATGGAGAGCCCAGAAGTAAGGCCATATGAAGAAGATTGAAACTGGACTCCTTCCTTAGACCATATACAAAATTCAACACAAGATGGATTCATATCTTAAAATTAATACCTAAAACAATAAAAAATCCCAAAGAAAACATAGGAAATGCTATTCTGGATATGGACCCTTGCAAAGAATTTATGACAAAGTTGCCAAAACAATCAAAATGAAAGAAAAAATTGACGAGTGGGACCTAAGTAAACTACAAAGTAAAAGAAAGATAACCTAAGAAGTCAGAGAAAATATTTGCTAACTGATATGGTTTGGCCGTGTTCCTACCCAAATCTCACTTTGACTTGTAATAATCCCCACATATCAAGAGCAGGGCCAAGTGGAGGTCATTAAGTCATGGGGGCAGTTTTCCCCATACTGCTCTCATGGTGTTGAATAAGTAACACAAGATCTGGTGGTTTTCTAAATGGGAGTTCCCCTGCACAAGCTTCTTTGCCTTCCACCATGCAATAGGCACCTTCCCTCCCCATTTTTTCTGCCTTTACTTTCATGTGGAACTCTGAGTCAATTCAACCATTTTCTTTTATAAATCACCCAGTCTCAGGTATGTCTTTATTAGCAGTATGAGAACAGTATAATACACTAACTGTACATCTGACAAAGGTCTAATATTCAGAACCTATAATCAACAGAAATTAACAAGCAAAAACAAAGAAGCTTATTAAAAATGGGTGGAAGATATAAACAGATACTTCTCAAAAGAAGACATATAGGAAGGAGGAGACATATAGCAAAATGGCTGAATATAAAGCTTGATCAATCATCCCTTCCAATAAGACACCAAGTTAACAACTATCTATACAGAACACACACACAGAAAAAAGAAAAAAAAAAAAAAACACTTTCACGAGAACCAAAAATCAGGTGAACACTCACAGTACCTGACATTAACTTCATATTACTGAAAGAGGTACCAAAGAGATAGAAAAAAATTCAGAATCACTGATGCCACCCTTCCTCCCCGCAGCCAGCAGCAAAAGCATGGTGCAGTGTGTTGCCCTGGGTGCTGGAGGAGGGAGAGCACAGCAATTGTGAGTCATTGAACTTAGGGCCTTCCTGTCAGAGCTGAAAGAAAAACCCAACCAAACTCAGCTGACATCCATCTACAGAGTGAACATTTAAACCAGCCCCAGACAGAGGGAAATTACCAATCCTAGCGGTCTGAACTTGAGTGCTAGCAAACCAGGCAACTGAGGGCCAAATTATTTTCCTTTTTAAAGAACACTTGAAAAGCAGTATATGCCATAATGACTGCAATTATTAGGCATGTGCCAGGGGTAAACCAGGCCCAAAAAAATTTGACTGGGGGAGGCATGTGACATACTGAGACACGATCTGGGGCAACCAAGAGAATACTGGCATCACCCCTCTCTTAACTCCAGGCTGCACAGTTTATGGCTCCAAAGAAGACTTGTTCCTTCTGCTTGAGAAGAATAGATGAAAGAGTGGGGACGACTTTGTCTTGAATCTTGGATACCAGCTCAGCCACAGCCAGATACAGTCAGAGTCATGAGGGCTCCATTCCAGGACCTAGATTCCAGATAATATTTCTAAACACAATTTTGGCCAGGTGACATTTCTAGGCTCACCACTGCCCTGAAGGAAAGAACCCAGTGCACCCAACATTCACCACCTGCTAATTGAAGAGTGACTGGGCTGTTAATAATGAGCAGAGATGCCTAGGTACTACATCAAGAATTTTGGTGAGCCTCTGAGACCTGCTGGCTTCAGGTGAGACTCAGCACATTACTAGCTTTGGTGGCTACAGACCAAAACTCCTTCTGCTTGAGGAAAGCAAAAGGAAGAATATAGGGGATGGAATTTGTCTTGCACTTTAGGTACCAACACTGTGACAGGCAGGTAGAGCACCAAGAAGGCTCTTGGGGTCCCCAATTTGAGAACTTGACTCTTGGACAGCATTTCTGAACATGCCCTGGGCTAGAGTGGATCCCACTGTTTTGAAGGGTGAGTTCCAGGTCAGGCAGCCTTCATCACAAGCTGATTTAAGAGACTTTTAACCTTAACATCAATAATAGTCTGGCAGAAGTCTTTGAGGCCAGAGGCCAGGGGTGGTGGTGGACTACAAGGTGAGGTTCCTCCGCCTTTTAAGAGGAGAGAAAAGTGACAAGAACTGCATCTTGTGGTTTGAGTGCCAGCTCAGCCACAATACAATAGAATACCAGGTAGACTTTTAACGTTTTTGACTCTAGTTCCTGACTTCTGGATGGTAATTCTGGATCCACACTAGGCCTGGGAGAACTTACCACCCAAAAGGAAAGGACAAAGACCTGGTTGGCTTTGTCAGCTGCTAATTGTAGAGCCCCAGGGCCTTGTGTGAATATAGACAGTAGTCAGAAAGTGGTTACAGCAGGCCTTGGGTGAGACTCAGTGCTGTTCAGGCTTCAGGTCTGACACAGCACAGTCATAGTGGTGGTGGCCACACAGGGGATTGTGTAACTCCAGTTCCAGCTTTAGGTAACTCAGAACAGAGACAGTGACTCTATATGTTTGGAAGAAAGTAAGGGAAATGAGCAAGAGTCTCTTGATGGTAATCCAGAGAACTCTCCTGAATCTTGTTAAAGACCATAAAGGCAGTACTTCTATGAGTCTGTAAGAACCACAGCGTCACTGGGCTTTGGTGCTCCCTAAAAGAAAAACAGTTTAGATCACAACCCAACTATTTTCAAATAAATCAAAAGCCTTCCAAGGAAGGATGGCTACAAATAAATGAAGATAGTGAAGACCACAATAAATACTGAACTCTACAATGAGCAGACACCAAAGAAGATCTGCTAGCATCAACAATACCTCTGAAAACATAAAAAAATGAAGCAAATAAGGCACCATGGAGCAATCCTGGAGAAATACAAATATGTGAATTTTCACAGAGATAATTCAAAATACCTATGTTGAGGAAACTCAAGGAAATTCAAGATAACATATAGAAGTAATTCAGAATTCTGTCATATAAATTTATCAAAGATTAAAATAATTAAAAATAATCAAGCAGAAATTCTGGAGCTGGAAAACACAACTGGAATACTGAATAATACATCATAATCCTTTACTAACAGAAGGGATAGAGAAGAAAAAAATTATTGAACTTGAAAACAGGATATTTAAAAATACACAGTAAAAAGAGACAAAATTAAAGAGAATAAAGAACAATGAAGCACACCTGCAGAATCTAGAAAATAGTGTCAAAAGGGAAAATCTAAGAGTTATTGGATTGAAAGAGATGGTAGAGAAAAACACAGAACAGGAGTAGTAAGTTTATTCAGATGGATAGTAACAGAGAACTTTCAAAACCTAGAGAAAAATGTCAGTATCCAAGTTCAAGGAGGTTATAGAACACCAAGCAGATTTAACCCAAAGAATACTACTTCAGGGCATTTAATATTCAAATTCCCAAAGGTCAAGGATAAACTAAGGATCCTAAAAGCAGAAAGAGAAAAGAAAAAAAAAAAAAAAGAAAGCCTCAATAAACTAGGTATTGATGGAACATATCTCAAAATAATAAAAGACATTTATGATAAACCCACTGCCAATATAATACTGAAGGGGCAAAAGCTGGAAGTATCCCTCTTGAAAACAGTCACAAGACTGGTATGTCCTCTCTCACCACTCTTATTCAATATAGTATTGAAAGTTCTGACCAGGGCAATCAGGCAAGAGAAAGAAATAAAGGTTATTCAAATAGATAGAGAGGAAGGAAAATTGTCTTTGCAAATGATATAATCCTATATCTTTAAAAAAAAAAACTTCTTAGCCCAAAGCCTTTCTTAAGCTGATAAGCAACTTTAGCAAAGTTTCAGGATAGAAAACTGATGTGCAAAAATCACAAGCATTCCTGTACACCAACCACAGGCAAGGAGAGAGCCAAATCGTAAATGAACTCTCATTCACAATTGCTACAAAGAGAATAAAATACCTAGGAATACAGCTTAAAAGGGAAGTGAAGGACCTCTTCAAGGAGAATGACAAACCACTGCTTAAGGAAGTCAGAGAGAACAAAAACAAATGAAAAAACATCCTATGCTTATGTATAGGAAGAATCAATATTGTGAAAATGACCATACTCCCCAAAGTAATTTATAGATTCAATGCTATTTCCATTAAACTACCATTGAAATTCTTCACATAATAA